AAATGACTCAAGAGCCCATAAAAACCTGCTTCAAAGGAAATGACTCAAGAGCACATAAAAACCCGCTGCCAAAGAAATGACTCAAGAGCCCATAAAAACCTGCTTCCTAGGAAATGACTCAAGAGCACATAAAAACCTGCTTCCAATGAAATGACTCAAGAGCCCATAAAAAACTGCTTCAGAGGAAATGACTCAAGAGCACATAAAAACCCGCTTCCAACGAAAAGATTTAGAAGCACATAAAAACCTGTTTCCAACGAAAAGACTGAGAAGCACATAGAAACCCTTTTCTATTGAAATGACTCAAGAGCACATAAAAAACTGCTTCAAACGAAATGATTCAAGAGTACATAAAAACCCACTTCCAAAGAAATGACTCAAGGGCACATAAAAACCCGCTTCCAACGAAATGACTCAAGAGCATATAAAAACCTGCTTCCAAAGAAATGTCTCAACAGCACATGAAAACCTGCTTCCAACGAAATATCTCAAGAGCACATAAAAACCCGCTTCCAACGAAAAGACTGTGAAGCACATAAAAACCTGCTTCAAATGAAATGACTCAAGAGCACATAAAAACCCACTTCCAAAGAAATGACTCAAGAGCACATAAAAACCTGCTTCAAAGGAAATGACTCAAGAGCACATAAAAACCCACTGCCAAAGAAATGACTCAAGAGCCCATAAAAACCTGCTTCATAGGAAATGACTCAAGAGCCCATAAAAACCTGCTTCCTAGGAAATGACTCAAGAGCACATACAAACTCGCTGCCAAAGAAATGACTCCAGAGCACATAAAAACCGACTTCCAACGAAATGACTCCAGAGCACATAAAAACCCGCTTCCAACGAAATGACTCAAGAGCACAAAAAACCCACTTCCAAATAAATGACTCAAGAGAACATAAAACCCCGCTTCCTATGAAATGACTCAAGAGCACATAAAAACCCACTTCCAAAGAAAAGACTTAGAAGCACATAAAAACCTGCTTCCAACAAAATGACTCAAGAGCACATAAAAACCCGATTCCAACAAAAACACTTAGAAGCACATAAAAACCCGCTTCCAACGAAATGACTCATGACCACATAAAAACCTGCTTCCAACAAAATGACTCACGAGCAGATAAAAACCCGCTTCCAATGAAATGACTCAAGAGCACATAAAAACCTGCTTCCAACGAAATGACTCACAAGCAGATAAAAACCAACGAAATGACTCATGAACAGATAAAAACCCGCTTCCAACGAAATGACTCAAGAGCACATAAAAACCCGCTTCAAAGGAAATGACTCAAGAGCACATAAAAACCCACTGCCAAAGAAATGACTCAAGAGCCCATAAAAACCCGCTTCATAGGAAATGACTCAAGAGCACATAAAAACCCGCTTCAAACGAAAAGACTGAGAAGCACATAAAAACATCAACTAAAAATAACCAACTGGGCTTTGTTTGTTACAGCATAAATTGGCACTACTGATTCCAAACTTAAAAATTTCTTGTCTCTTGGTTTGATTTTCATTTAAAGGCTTTGAGTTACAAATATACTCATTTGAAAATATATATATGAACAAGATGGTGAAGGCACAGGCCTTTCTTCCCAACAAAAGGTAAAAAGAAACAGGCATGTTCCAGCATTCTGCTTGTTCCTGTCTCAACTGCTTCAATTGCTATTTTCTCATCAAAGCCTGCTCCCCAAAGAACTTTGAAGAAAGCTACTAATTTTAACTGATCCAGCATTTTAGACTGTTCCAAAGAGGACTTTTATTAAGCCTGAAATTTCTCAACATTGAAATGTTATTGGACCACAAATGTTATTGCTTGCTTGATTAACCATTTTTATTTGGGCCCCCTATAGGATTTCTACATGTCCAAAATGTCAGCTAGAAGAAATCTATGTGAACGGTGTCCAATTTTCCTTAAAGGGGGTTGGGTATGTTTTGGGTTGTTTGCTATGCCTACGAAATTTTATTGTCATTGGGAGATGTTTATTATTAACGGTCTTATTCAAAGTAAAACAAGGAATATACAGGGATATTTTATAAAAATAGAAAGAGGGTAAATTATTGAATCTACTCAACTTAAGGTTTTATTTGTTATTCCCAAATAAGGTTAATTTTAACTCTGGTATAGAATTTTGCATATTGATGCAAAAATAAGTATTTTTAATAACATCGGTATTAGCTTTACTATATTGATAGAAAGTCAAGGTTACTTCCAGGACTTTTAAACTACTATTAAAAGGTGGTTAGGATATTAGGTATGAAAGTTAATTGCTAGTTATTCAACTCATATTCATGTCAAACATTAGTCTAATTTATCACAGGAGTATACATCATAGGTTTAACAGATAGATATGATTTTTGTATACAAAGCAATTATATAAAGATAGGTAGTCTTCAAAAACTTCAGAGACCTACAGAATATGGCATTTAAAATGTTCTTATTATTTTAAAGTTTCTTTGACAATGAGACAAGTCATTTCCTGGCAGCACCCTGCCTACCTGAAAGAAGATAATGAGCATCGAAGAACCTCCATATTGAGATGGCTTCAAATGTGGCAAACAAGCCACTCGGGTAAAGAAAATACCCTTGCTTCACAACAGACAGTCTGCCTAAAATGGGCAAGCTTAAATGCAGGACAAGTCAACTGCCGAACTCTGCCAAGACAGGGTAAGCAAGTCCTAAGTAGTTCCTGCTTCACATATATGTCTGTCAAATATTCTGAGCCAGAAGGCTGAAGATGATGCTCCAATGTTACAGAGAGTTATGGGTGACTGTTCAGAGCAAACTGTCTCTGTCAATTTTTATTTTTTGAAAGATGCTAACATGCACTTCTTCTTTACTCTCATAACCAATTTATTCCATCTCAAGTCTCTGATGGGATTGAAGACCAAATATTTACAGTATCACATTTAAACTTAAGTTGTTTAGAAGTTAAGAAATCTTTTCATATAGGTGATACCAATAAGGATAAAAATTAATTTAGGTATAGAACTTTAAACTTGTCAAGATAGGATAATCAGACACTTTCTCCTAAGATACCCTCTCCATGTGCTAAATACACATGGACTGGACATTGCACATGTAGATTTTACCTAACAGTTTTCATAATTTCATAATTATTATTGCATTGAAAGAAAATGAGCCTTTTATTGGACTTAAAGGGGGAAATGTTGGTATAATGTTTTTTTTAAATGTATATACCTTACCCTTGTTAATTCAAATGCTGATTTCCCCACTCCCAACTCTCTGGTTTCAATCTGGATATTGCATTGTGATACTCATTATAAGCATCCTGTCTCAACTCTGTGTAAACAGGACAAAATAAAGCAACTAGATACAATGTTGTGCAATGGGAGGAGCCAGAGGAAAGGAAAGAGGGGAGGAACTAGAAAGCAGGAAGGAGTGGGAGAAGGGGCGAGAAGAGAGTGAGGATAGCAGAGCTGGAGGGAGATCTTGGAGGACGTGGAGCATGAACCAAACCTAAGATTACAAAAAGCAAGTATAATGTGGGAAATCTAAATGTTAGGAAACTGAGGGCTTGGAGGTTTAGGAGGGAGTAAATATTGCCCAGCATTGTGTTCTAGGTTAACTAAAAACCCAGTTTCTGTGTGGTGATTTGGTTATACAGCTGTTTAAGATTAACAGCAAGCTTTACTAGAAGATAAACCAAAAGTAAATATCAATAATCTCTTACAACAGGTTAGGGTTAGATTTAGGGTTGGGTTTGGGTTAGGATAAGGTTTAGAGTTAGGATTAGTGTTTGGTTTTGGCATATGGTCTGGGTTAGGGGTAGAGTTTGGTTTCAGTTTAGGGTTAGTGTTTGAGTTCAGGTTCAGGTTAGGGTTAGGGTGAGACAGTAATGAGGAAATTCTAGGGGTAGCATACAAACTTCTGAAATAAGTTTGAGCAGTGACAGAAGTTGTTATACATACATTTATGTGAATAAATGTGTGAATACTTGAAGTACAAGCCCATGTGCCCCAGGGCTGAGAGAGAGCACAGTAAGACCAGAGCAGGAATTTTCCAACTGTGAAGACCCTGCTACAGCACCTGGTACCTGGCTCATAGTAGAACAGGCACACTGGTGGCCCTTGAAAAAGGATGGTGTCCCCAATTTTCAGGTTCTCCAAGTACTGAATCATCTCTCCTCCTCCAGGATACTTGGAGTGCACATTTTTAAAGTAGATATGGAAATCAAGTATGGGTCTTTATATTTTCAAGCCTTTGGCAATGGTTGTATGTAGCTGGAAAGGGCATTTGCCATCAGAAGTCATGCAACTACAAAATACTGCCACATTTACTGTGGACAATTTAACATTTTGTTCCAATCTCACAATAAAATATCCTAACAGAGCAATTTATGGGAGAAAGGGTTCATTTTAGCTCACAGCTCCAGGTTAAAGTCAATCATGGCAAGGAAGCCAAGGCAGTGGAAGCAGCTCACCACATCACATGCAACAGAAAGATATGAATACCTGCATGCCTAGTAGTGTTCACCTCATTCTCTGTACTTACACAGCCCAGTGTCCTCTGCCTAGGGAACAGTGTTGCCCACAGTGGGCTGGATGTTTCTACATCAACTAATATAATCAAAATAATCCACCACAGACATTTCCTCAGAACAACCTGGTATACACAGTCCCTCATTGAGATTCTTCTCAGGTGATTTCTAGATTTTGTCAAGTTGACAATTAAACTAACCACAGATATCCTTTGAGGCACTTTACAGGGTAAAATATGGCATTGCTGATAAATGAGAGTACTGGAAAGCACTGTCCAGGCCATTTCTCTGAATCCCCTAAGAGAAAAAGCACTGTTCTTTTTTATACCACATTTAGGATGCTTGGGGACTCAAGACAGCTGGGTAAGATGGGCATTATTTACCTTTATAATTAAGTCCACAAAGCCTTGATTATTGTCACTGGAGACAGGATTGTAAGCCCTTATCACCAACACATTGTTAATTTGGGCCAAGCGATGGACATAGGTACCTACAAAAATATATATATTAAATGTTAAGTCTTAGAATAGTAAATAGAACCCAAGAACCTCTGAGATTCACTTTGATAATAGCTGCTCTGCCACAATCACAATGTAACTCTTAGAGCAAGACTTAATTAAGGGTGGGAATGGCTACTAAAAATATCAGAAAGGAGCCAGGTGTGGTGGCTTTTACGTGTTATCCTAGCACTTGGGCATCAGAGAGAAGATGTGAATTCAAAGCTAAAATGGCTATAAGTTGCAGACCAGTCTGGGCTAAGAGGGAGACCTTGTCTCAAAAATAAATAAGAAAAGAAAATTTTTCTATTTAAAGAAAACCATTGTCTTTATGAAGTTTTTTTTCTTAACCTGGAGACTGAGAGGATTCACCAGTACACCATCTGTATCTCAGCATAAAACAGGGCTTAGCCTCATGGGTGCTGCAGGGTCCCAGGACCTGGACAGTCTAGTATCAAATAAAACAACAGTGTGTGCAATCCAGCCTTTGGCTCTGCTGAGAGGCAGCAGGATCATTTACACTGTGTCTCTGCCTGTCCAGAGTAGGATTCTATGGACCTGGATAGCCAAAGATGTTTGAGTTCAGACTGTAGCCCAATGGCAGATAATGGGCCAGATAGAAATGCAGACTTCAGAGACCAAGGCAGTTAGTAATGAGTGGGGGAACTGCATCAAGGGATGCCTAAAGCTAGAGGCAAAAGAAGGCTTCAGACCAGGTCCATATGGAATAGAAACTAAATGTGCTTGGGAAATTAGAAATACAGATAGAAATGGAAACAGAGAAAGACAGAGATGAAGAGGGGCCAAAAAAGAAGGAGGAAGAGTGGGTGTCTGAGGACAGAGGGCATAGTTCATAATGTTAAGCAGTGTAAGTCTGGATCTTGGAGAAATCCCTTGAGACTGAGGTACAAACTTATAACCATTACCTGACTGGGCACTAGGGACACTTGAGAACACAGGCCTGAAACAGCTCCCTTCTGAGAGCTCACCTGAAACTGGGCACCTAGAAAGTCATTCACTGCATCCCCACACAAAAAGGAACTGGGTCCAGGTCCCAGGGCCCCACCTCTAACCATTTTCACTTCAGCTGAGCTGTGACCTACTAGGTTGCCCTGTCCCACTGACCATGCTGTTTCCATTGGTGCTGGAGGGAGAGGTCAGAAAAGTCTCTATGAATTCTACTTCTCAGGTGCTGTATGCTTTTATGCCACCTCCTAATAGGGTGGTGGTGGCAGGCTAAGTAGAGGGATGGAAATCCCAGTGACATAGCACTCTCATGTACAGTGGAGTAAGGGGCAGCAAGTGGGCTGGGGTGAGGCTGGGTGCAGCAGGATTCCTCATGTTATATTTCATGGCTTGACAAAGGCAGTTAGAAGTCTGGATTTTCTTTGTGAGCAGGACACCAGTCAGACTGTGTGTTAGTAAGCAAGTGGCAAGGCTTCTCTGCCCCACACCCATCCATCAGGTATTCCATCTCAAGAGATAGGACTCACTGTGTTATGGATGAAACAGGAAATGGGACAACTCAAAATCTGAGGAGGACAGCTAGGGCTGGTTTCCACCATGGATCCCTCCTCACGTGGGTCTCAGGACCCCTCAGATAACCCACCCATGTAGGACATCTGCATCACTAGTGACTTCCCACACATTTTGGACCTTGAATCTAAAGGAACATCTGTTCTTCTCACCCCTGCTCAACACTATGAAGTTTCTGAATTTTCACACCCATTAGATACTTACTGTATCTGAAGTAAGCAGACAGCCCTGAGAAATACAACCTTAAAGACAGAAGGTCAGAGAGTTTGAGGGACTGGTCTTAAACTGCATGGAAAGGATAATTTAATGAGATGGTAGACCTTCTAGCTCTAAGCTTACTTCTTTTCAGTGTTCCTAGCAGTATTGCTATTGTGACAGTCCAAGTAGAACAATGAAGACACTGTTGTCAACCCCACCTGCCTATCTCCCTCTGTTCATGTGGTCCAGGATTATATCAGTGTGCCCTCCACATGCTATGAGAATGGGAATCCATTGCTAATAGGAGCCATGTTCCTGAAAGGCCCAGACTTGAAAGTATCACCAAGCACTGCTCACCTACAAGAAACCCCAAGACATCTTCCAGTGAGGGCAGACCAAAGCGAAATATTTGGGTGTTGTGGTTGATTTGCTGATTTAAAAAAATTCAGGCAGGTTCTGTTGGGTTTCTAGGAGTTTTGTGGTGTGTACCAGATCCTTAGAAAGGTGCTCCATTTGGTCCTGAGGTGACTGCTCACCCCACCTTCCCAGGTAGCATTATTACCCCCTACCCCTGTCCTCCTCTTTCACCTAACCAGGGGGAAGATTTAGATGACTCATTACCTCCTTCTCAATCAAGGGCAGGGAGTACTTGGCTTCAGGGTCCTGTAAGGTGATAAGATGGTGGTTCTTTTTTGATGCTCATTTTCTTCAAGGCCAGGAGACTCACAGTGGCTCCAATGACATGAAAGGGCCAACAGCAGGGACTGATCCTGCCAGATAGAGTGTGAACACAGCCCTTCCTCAGATTTTACCCATCCTGGGCTGGGCAGCTCCAAGCATGACCGATCTTATGTCTCAAAGGACTAGCAGAGAGAAAGGTACTAACACAGAAGTACCTGTGGAGACCAGGGGGTAAAGAGGTTAGCTGCAATAGGCCTCCTGGACCAGGCCTGGCATCTGCCCCAGAGTGCTAGTGTTTCCAGTCCCTCTTTGCCCATCTGCCTCTATCCTGGCTACAGCGAAAGATGCAATGGCTGGGAAGGAGTGATGGCGTTAGTTTTAATAGGTCACCTGAGATATGGCCATGGTATCCTTGCCAAGTGATGAAGATAACAACAGCAAGGCAGGGATCACCTCTCCGGAGACTTCCCACACTCTCTATGGATCTCATGCTGGAGCAGTGCAGCAGTGAGTGGCTTAGGGACTCACTAGCAACTTCCAGGTAACCTTGGGAAACACTCCACTGCCAGAGGTGAGGCCTGCCTCCCCACACCAGCCCTTAACTCCCTTCCCCCTCCCACCCAGCTCCCTCACCAGGCCAGTTCACATCCCAACCTGTTCCAGAAAGGTCCGCTGCTGCCCAGTGCTCTGGTCCAGAGACCCAGAGTCCCCACCAGCTGGGAAAATGCCTGTGAGTCTTGCCCAGGCCATCTTGCCTGCAGCTCTTTCCAGCCCTGTGTTCCTTCCTGCCTGCTCCCTTCCAGCGGAACCCACCTGGAGCAAGATGTGTAACTTGTCCTCAAGATGGGCACTGCCCCTTGATGGTCCTGAAGGCGGACACCAGGAAGTGGCCAGGGACGAGCTGACTCCTGCCAAAAGCAACAAAGTCAGGCTTCTGTGTCACGTGACTCTGGCATGGGTCCAGCCCTGAGTTTCCTCCCGGGCCTGGCCTGTGGAGATAGAGCACACCTCCAGATGTCTTATTCATGAAAGGGGTTGCTCTGCATCTTGTCTCTCCCTGCACATCCTAACAGCCTTGAGGAAAATTCAGCTTCCCCAGCTTGTTAACACCATGGCAAGATGGAGAAAGGAGTTGCTATTAACTTATTTACATTGCAAACTGAAGAAATGGAGTTATAGCTTAGAGGAAGATTTATTTAACATACCTCCTGAGCTGTTATCCTGAGCCTCCAGGACCAATTGTCTGCAGGATGGGGCTGACTGAAAAGTGTCATATCTTCACTAGTGGGAGACCAGAAGGGACTTTGGGCAGTAGGATGAGAAGAACAAATTATGACTGTTCTTCACAATGTATTTCAGAACCTTGGTTTCTTCATCCACACTTCCAGTGGCAAAAGTAAACTCTCATTGCAGTCCAAGAGAGCTACAGAGGCCAAGAAATAGGTCCCTATCATCTTGGCACAGTGATTCTCAACCTGTGGGTAACAAGTCCATCAGATATTCTTCAGTTGAGTATTTACATTACCATTCATAATGGTAGCAAGATTACAGTTATGAAGTGGCAACTAAATAATTTTATCATCGGGGTCATCATAACATGAGGAACTATATTTAAGGGTCACAGCATTAGGAAAGTTGAGAACTACTGGGCTAGGACGACGATAATGGATTACCACAGACTGACTAGGCAAAGGAGGCTGATAATCCAAAATCAAGTAATTGGCCAAGGTGGTACCTCTGGGGACTATTGGGGAACAAAAAGTCTATGCCCTTCTCCTTAGCTTTTCTTTTTATATCATCTAATCTCTCTATGCATGTTCCTGTGTTCCAGTTTCCCCTTCAGGCACACCTGGTAGGGTTGTGAGGGAAAACAGTTCACATTAACCTCCATTCCAAGGAACAGGCTTTGGCAGGTGCATGTAATGACACCTCCCATGATACCTTTATGGGCCCACATGTCATTGCCAGAGTTTTCTTTTACAGCTTTGTTGTTTAATATATAAAGTCATGGCTGGTAGTGCCTGGCCTGCCTGAAGCCCTAGCTATGTAGGAGGTTGAAGAAGAAGGACCAAAAGTTCAATAGCTGTCTGGGCTACAAAATGAGTTTAAGGTCAACCTTGGCAATTTAGTAAGACTGTCTCAAAATTTAAAAGCAAACAAAAAACCAGCCAAACAATAACAAAAAGGAAAGGCTGAGGATATAGGACACCATTTGCTTAGCACATGTGAGGTTGTGAGTTCAGTGTCTAGTATGGAGGAAAAAAAGACAGCCTAAAGTGTAAAATGGTGTCTCGTGGAAACATTTACATCACATAAGAAGCTGTGAAGAGGGACATCTTTCCTGTTCTGAGCTGCAGTGCCCTTACCTTTATACAAAGATATGACAGCTTAAAACTCTTGTCCATTTTTCTACTGAGTTAACTATGTCACAGTGATTTTTAAGAGGCCTAAATGTATGTCAGACAGATGAGTTATAAAGGCTTTCTCCCAACATGTAACTTTCCTCTTAAATCTTCCCCAGTGTGTGTCAGATGAGCAGAAATTTCTCATTGTAAGGTCGTCAGTGTCTGAGTCACCAGCCTTTGCTTTGAGGATTAATATTTTCTGTGATTTCTTATTTCTACTCAATCTCATAACATGTCTTATATTTCTTATGGAAAAAAAGTTAATGCTTTTGCTTTAAGGTTTCCCAAACACACAATAATGATTTTTGCATGATGTGAGTCAGGGATCCAACTTTGCTTTTCTTGTATGGCTAATGTGTTGTCTCAACAACACATTGCACATGCCAGACCACTGACTTTATATCCCATCACACATTGGTCTCATACATGGGCTAGCTTTGTCTCGTCACTGTTCTCTTCATCAGTATGGTTGTTCAACCCTATGGTAATACACAGTTCTAATCACAGTAGTGTATAGCAAGTGTTTGTATTTTACTCTTACATAGAATCATGTTGAATTACAGCAGGGTTTCTTTTTTTTAAAATAAAGTATCAGCATTATGTAATTTATTATTCTCTGGAAAAGCTGTCTAAAATTAAGTTTGAAATGTGTTTTTTTTCTACACAAATATTGTTCTTTATTTCTTCCTTTATTAATTAAACTTTATTCTGTTTGTATCCCCCCTGTGGTTCCCTCCCTCCTTACATCCCAATCCTTCCCTTCCTCCACCCTCTGCATGCATGCCCCTCCCCAAGTCCATTGATAAGGGAGGACTTCTTTTCCTTCCTTCTGATCCTAGTCAATTAGGTCTCATCAGGAGTGGCTGCATTGTCTTCTTCTGTGGCCTGGTAATGCTGCTTCCCCCTCAGGGGGAGGTAATTAAAGAGCAGGCCAATCAGTTCATGTCAGAGACAGTCCCGATTCCTATTACAATGGAACCCATTTGGATGCTGAACTGCCAGGGGCTACATCTGTGCAGGGGTCTTAGGTTATCTCCATGTATAGTCCTTGGTTGGAGAATCAGTCTCAGGAAAGACCCCTGTGCTCAGATATTTTGGTTCTGTTGCTCTCCTTGTGGAGTTCCTGTCCTCTCCAGATCTTACTGTTTCCCACTTCTTTCATAAGATTCACACTTAAAGAAATGCTCAACCTCATTAACCATCAGGAAAATGCAAATCAAAACAATCCTAAGATTTCACCTTACACCCATCAGAATGGCTAAGATCAAAAACTCAAGAGACAACACATGCTGGAGACATTGTGGAGAAAGGGGAACCCTCCTACACTGCTGGTGGGAATGTAAACTGGTACAACCACTCTGGAAAGCAATCTGACACTTTCTCAGAAAAACTAGGAATAGCACTTCCTCACAATCCAGCTATACCACTCCTAGGCATATATCCAAAAGATTCTCAAGTACACAATAAGGACATTTGCTCAACCATGTTTATAGCAGCCTTATTTGTAATAGCCAGAAGCTGGAAACAGCCCAGAAGCCCCTCAGTGGAGGAATGGATGCACAAATTGTGGTATATCTACACAATAGAATATTACTCAGCAATAAAAAACAAGGAAATCATGAAATTTGCAGGTAAATGGTGGGATCTGGAAAAGATCATCCTGAGTGAGCTATCCCAGAAGCAGAAAGATGCACACGGTATATACTCACTCATATAGATATTTAATATAGGATAAACATACTAAAATCTGTACACCTAAAGAAACTAATCAAGAGGGAGGACTCTTGCTAAAATGTTCAATTTCTATCCAGAAAGGCAAAGAGGCTGGACACCAGAAGAAGGAGAAAAGAAGGAACAAGTCAGGAGCCTGACACAGAGGACCTCTGAAAAGCTCTGCCCTGCAGACTATCAATGCAGATGCTGAGACTTATGGGCAACCCTTGGGCAGAGTACAGCAGGGTTTCTTAAACTTTTTCTACTAAGAATCCCTTTTCACCTGAGAAAAGTTTATGTAACTCTGAGTAGACAGATACATAAAATATGTAGATAGGTCAATGTGGACAGCCAAGCTCTGCTGCGCCCTAAAGATGGCGCTGGCTTCCGCCTCTGTAGGCAAAAGCTCTCGGTAATCAACTCCTTAATTGGTTGTGTATGTGCATCGGGCTCGCTTCCGCAGTTGTGGACTAATCTGCAAGCGCCACGTAGCTTGTCAGGATTGGCTGGCCATAGGCTATTTAATTGGCGGGTTGGGCTTCCCGAGAGGTCAGAAGATTGTTCAAGGTTCCCGAATAAACTGCATTGAGAAGAGTCCAGTGTTGTGTCTTCCTTGCTGGTCGAGGCGGTCGCGACAGGTCAAATATTTACAGATAATCATTAAATGGGTCTTAATTTTAAATTGTGTGTATGCATGTATCTGCAAGTATTCTTCCTGTACGTTGGCTCAAAAGTTTCTTTCCTCCTTTCCCAATGCCCTAATTGCTTTCATTGCCAACATCTTTTCTCAAAATCTGTCTCTTGTCTGTTCACAACAGCAGCTCATTGTCTTGGCCAGACCACATGAGCAGCTTTCCTTTCCTCTCTGGCACTGGCCTACCCTTTGTGTATTTTGCTAAAAATGCCAATTAGGACAAAATATCACAACAGCCATGTTTGTTTGACTAGTGTGAGCTTTATGAAGCCCACTGACAGCCTAGAATACTCTAGGCACTAACACTGACCAATGCACAATTGAACTTTCCCTTGTTCTCTCTTTAAGGATTTGAGAATAAAGCATATTGGTACTACCTGACCAACCCATCCCCCTGCCCCCGCCGCCCAGCATTGTAGATGGGGATATATCTGTAGCTGTACATGAATTTTTGAAATGTTTTCAAACTTGACACTCATAACAGAAATGTGACTGTGGTAGGTTGGAGATGTAGTTCAATTGATAGAGTGATGGCCTAGGGTGCATGAAGCCCTGGGTTCATTCTTAGCAGTGCATAAACCAGGTGGAGTGATGCATACCTGTGATGTCAATGGAGGCAGAGGAATCAGAATGTCAAGGTCATCTCAGGTTCCATAATGACTTTGAGGCCAGTCTGGGCTACTAGAGACTTTATCTCAAAACAATAAGAAGGATGCTATGGGAAACTTTGCACATTTCTGAGAGACCTTAGCGATCTTCTCAGACTGTAAAAAGACAAAGGGGACTGAGACCCCTGACTGACTAGAGTTGGCTCAAGGCTGCGATTGGGAAGAGTAAAAAAGAACAGTTTGCCGAATCCTATTCCTGTTGCCCTTCCCACTCCCAGGAATCTCCTTCCTTAACAGCTATGTCTGCTGAGCTACGCTAATGACGATAGT